ACAGCGCGTTCTCGAGTTTCATCGGTGAACTTTCGCGATCCATCCGACGCACTAAAACGGAACTTTTTAATGAGTGCTCTCACTCGCGAGTACCTCGTTGACTGAAATTTCGGCGAGATTGGGATTGTATATCGAATTGACTTAAAACAAACGTAGATATATCCCTGTTCTACAGAATCGATAATTACAGACGTTCCCATATCGATTTACGCTCCAGTTTCCTCGCCGTTGATCAACGAGATATTCACGCAAGCCAAAGAATCTAATAAAACTGAAAAACTCCGTTCTGGCGTCCCGAAAAAAATCGCGTGTTCGCCGATAGAATCGAGAATCGCTGTATATTTATATACATCTTTCGACTCGCGCATCTCGACGCGACTGCGTTTCTCGTTTCACGCATACGTTCCTTCCGTGTTAATGCACGTGTGTCGCGCGTGTATGTGTGAGCGTTTGTATACATATATGACGTGTTCGTGCTTGTGTATTAAATATGTATATGTGGGCGTCATAAACTTTACACGCACAGGAGAAATTGCCGCCAGATAAGGGTCGCGTCGGCGTGGAGTTCCGACGGAACCTTCGTTTCGCTCTCTCGCGCAGACTTTCTCGTCCAGTTTATCCTCTTAAGACTAAACTCTGCGTTAATTTATCGGGGTGTACACAGGGTGTTAGAAGTAGTCCGCTTGTATAGTCCGCCGTATACGGTACACATCGATTGTGACGGCGCGCCGAGGGCACCGTATATTCTACACTGTACATTTTCGCGATTCTTCTTGCCTCTTGTATTTTTAGACGTCGAGGATGGTGTGCGATCGATTAACGCGGAAGTTGATTTAAACGACTCAAAGTGCTGTAGCTTGATACAACAGTATTTTTTTTTTCACACGAATTCGACACAGTTGATTGTTATCAATTCTTGTGTAAAAATTCATTTCCGTTGAAAAATTGTTATTAATTCCAGCTCATGATGGATGAGAGGATTCTTGCGATTTATCGTGTCTCTAGGATTTTAAAGTTGAAGGGACAATTTTGAGTAAATCAATTTCCATGCGATCCGGAGCCGCACACCAACCGCGGATCTTTCACAGGAAGTAGTCGATACCTTCGACTTTCCTATATATCGAGATCGTCTTTAAAGATGCTTTCATGGAGCATCTCGTTGTACTTCGAATAAGATTCTTCTTAGGCCGAGTGTGATCACCTACCGGTAATTACATCTTGCGTGTAAATCATGCGATACTCCCGAGCTGAGGATCGTAACTCTCGATATCGAGACCCTTCCACATTTCTGTCAGCATTCGCAAAACACTTTTGTAAAAGGACAAAGCTCGGTTAAACTCCGAATTTGTCGACTACGTCGCCGAGAAACGCTTGTCGAAATTATTGACTATCGTAAACGTTAAATCGCGTCCACCAAGCGTTTATGTAGTTGACGTTTAGTTTATATCGCCAAAGAGCATGTCGTATCGACTTTATTATTGATGAAAACGTCACGCACTTGTGTTTCTCAGCTACGTTAGAGTTCCGCAGGAAAATGTCGCAAACTATCGATACGAGCACGTTAGTGCACCCGACAGGATAGAGCGGAAAAGCCGAAAGTGCAGGCAGAGAGAGAGAGAGAGAGGGAGAGGGAGAGAGAGAGAGAGAGAGAGAGGGGGAGGGACAAGGTGTACCTCCTACTTATTATTCGTAGCGGCCAGTCTCGGAAACGGTTTTACTACTGTTCGGTGAACATGAAATTTTCTCGCGACCGATGCTCACGCGCGATATCACCGACGTTTCCCACGACTCTCGTAAAAGGTGCTTGCCGAATGTAAAGGGAGTCGGAATACACCGACACTTGCCCCCACCGGTTCTCCCTCTTTCGCCGCCACGCCTCGACTGCTGCTTCTTTATGCAAGCTTTATGCAAGCGATGATTTAAAACGCATCCAGCTGCATTCTGCGCGAGAAGCCGCTTTTAGCGAATTTAATTGTCAATCAACGCGATTTTTATCAACGCTCGCGTCCTGATCGAGCAGTGTTGAAAGATGAGGGACGTTATCGATGTTCCTGATGAAGCCATCCTGACGCCAGCAACGAGTAATCAGGAAAATGTTCAACGCGATCAACCTGTGCCCCGATATGAATCTTGTTTTTACATTTGTTCTTTAACTTCTACCAAGCAAGAGAAAGAGATCACGTCCGATTTCTCGCTTTTGACGTTACAATTTAGTACAATAGCGATGTGATCGGGAGTCTTAATATTTATTCCCCTCTGTTTCTCTTTCCTCCTTTTTCCTCTTCATCAATATATCTTACAGAATTTCCCTTCCCTTGTAACCGTGCGGAACGTTCTTGATGATTCGTGAAATGCGACTGGAATGCTACGAAGAAATGTAGAACGAAGAGGAATCATGATAAATGGCTGGGTTATTATTAGGTGCCGGCAATGCTGCGAGAGCGAGCTTTCGTTAAGTACAAGCCGACTGAATTATTCTCAAGAGAGGCACAACGGAAAAGTAGATTTTACCAGACAAGGGACAGACTGAAAATTGTTTCTCAAGGCTCGTCAAATTAGTTTGGACGAAAATTAAACTTTTACTTTTCGACACTTCTGGATCGACAAAACTACGCCTTCATCCAATTTTGTTCTTTCTTCTTGTCACGTTTGTAAAAAATACTTTATTTGAAATAAAAAATTGAGCTTCTAAATAAAAAGCACGCTTCTCAAGTTTTATGCAAAACGTACCACGCAAATTTATGCGATTCGAGGGGATAAAATATCGCGAAATTATCAGGTATACGAAATATATTTCGTATATAACGCGATGAAATAATATCGTACTTCACTCCGTTATCGTACTTCACGCTGCAATAGTGCGATAACACTAAAGCACTAAAGCGTTTTCGCATTTAATTCGATAAGATCGAGAAGTTCTTACATGCTTACATTATTAATGACTCGTTCGGAGAAACGACGTCCGTACGCTTCTTTTCTTTCGCTGATGACACAAAATTTAGCGGGACGGCCAAGCTCGGATTCTTTTTAGATCCACCAAACTCTGAATACTCGTGTCTCGATCGAGAGAATCCGTTCTCGACGGTCGGCGCGAGCGCGGCGCTTGCTTATCAAGCCGACACGTAGAGTAAGTTAAGAGGACGGATGATAGCAATGCGTTAACGCGTGAACCGAGAGCGAGCAGCTTACTATGAGAAAGTGGCGTAAACCAAATCTCACGGAGTTCGTTAAAGCGAACACCATGGCATCGCGGTCTCTTTGCCCGCGGATTAATTAATTCATTAACGTTATTTCACCGAATCTGGTTTAAACTCTTTGCAGAATAAGCGGCTCCGCGGCTTCGTTTACACGACATCGAATATACATGGATGATCTCTCGGGAAGATATATATTTTAGCAACGAATTTTTGGACGAATCGGAATTTCTTTCTCAGCCAATAATTTTAGGCAATTTAATTAGAGAATACAAGTCGAAAATATGCCTCTTTTAAAAATTCGTCAAAGAATCCGTCTTCTAAAATGATTTTAGGCAGTAACCGGACATGTACAGCTTCATTCCGATATCGCTGATTTTCAGGCGTAACTTTTACTTCGTGTGGCCAACTCTTTCACGAGTTTCGGTACTCTGGAAGACGTCCCTTCCGCGTTCTTGTTGTCGCCAGACATCGAATTGCTCGACGAATCTATTCCACGCCTGTAAACTCTGTGAAAAATTACGATCGCAAGCTATATACACTGAAACAATACTAAATTTAATAAATATTCATTCGAATAGTTCTAAGCAAATATTTACTAAATGTAAACATATATTTATTTAATACAAAAATCATCGATTTGATTTAGCTATCATTTTGTTTATCGAGTAAATATTTATCGCAAGTAAATATTTAAATACTTAGCACTATTCGAATAGATATGTATTAGAATTTAGTAAATTTTTTCCAGCGTACGGAACTTGTACGATCCAGCTTTTGGGTTTTGTTCTCGAGCGAAGTCGGGCGCAAAGGAACACCGTCGGCGTTGAAAACTTCTCAACGCCGAGGCGCGCGTATTCTTTCAAGACACAAGACGCGTGTCCGTGAGATTCGATCGGTAATGTACTTTCCGATGTCGAAAGGAAAAATGCGCGACCTCGGCGTTCCGCCGTACCAAAGTACGGATCGGAGTCTTCTCAATTCCGAAGAAGGCTGACGTTAAACTTCGCGTTAAAACACTTCGAACGTAGAGCCTGTAGTGACAGCGACCTCGCTGGCAGACGAGACCGACCGACGGCGCTCGAGATCCATCTCGACGGAATCCAGCCGACTTGGAGGGTCCTAATCGCCTCGCGATTGCAATTCTATCGATCTAACGCGCAATTAACGACAGTCGTCGTCGTCGTCGTCGTCGTCGTCGCCGTCGTCGTCGTCCTCGTCGGCGGCAGGAAGCGACTGTCTTCGCGCGCGCAAAGTATTTAACGAGACGTCCGCTTGCCTCCTTTCGAATCGCCACTCTCTCGACGTGACGACAGTCGCCGCTTCGTCGACGCTCCCTCTTACCCTAAAAGCCCTTTTGTACGGTATCGTATGTACACGCAGAAGTAAAGCGTACTCGAGAGGCGATCGAGAGGTACGCTTCGCCAGGCTGCGTCGCGCGATAATGTGTGAACGCACTTATCGGCTTATCAGCGAATTCCGCGGCGGCGGCGCCAAGTTACGATGACGTTAGGAGCGGGAGGTCCGCGTTCTTACCATGGCACCAGGTTTCCCGGAATCCCCGGGCTTTCCGGACTCTCCCCTCAGTCCCATGGGGCCCTGAAAGTAGATAGACAGAATGCCCATCAGCATGTCTCGCCCGCCGCATTCGACGCGGTCTCGCAGGTGGTGGATCAAGCGCGCGACACTCTTTTCCGTCGCTCGGAGGAGGATATGCAGGCTCTAACTTGTATTCGGTCTTTTTCTCATGCAGAGAGATTGCGTGTATACCTTCGTAACATTGTGCGCACGCCTCCTCCCGTCTTTCTTTCTCGTGTACCTATTTCGTTCTGCCGATAAAGTCCAATTCGTTAATTATACCACGTGCCACAATATACCCTACAACTCTTTCAGTCCCAAACCATTTTTTTCAAAGTTGACGAAGAATCTTGTGGAAAAAGAAATCTTGTGTATCATATATTTGAGTGTGTTGATAACAAAAAAAAAAATAAACAACGTTATTTTTCTGTTTTTAGACGAAAAATTTATCGAAAAATTGCAGTAAACTCACACAATGGACTGAAAGAGATACTAACGCTAACAATGCAAGGTACGGAATTTTCGGAACGCGATTTTTTTGCAGAAAAAGCAAAGGACACAGGACAGTTTTTTCTTTTTTTTTTTTTTTTTTCCCCGAGGAGAACGTTCGGGGGGTGGTCCCGTCTGCGTTCTATCTGCCTTTGTGCGTCCTGTATCCGCGTTTCCTTTTTAGAGCGCGCTTAAGGCTACACGTGTGTGCGTGTGTTTGAGTGCATGCTGTGTGTAATCTGGAGAGAAAATACGTACGGGCAGTCCCATCGGACCAGGATCCCCTTTGGCACCCTTTTCTCCCTGTAACGTGAAAAAAGAAAGAGCGACGCGTGAGAACGGGCTTGTCCGCATTGCAATGGTGTCGCGCACGCAAAAAGGTGATCTCAAAGATCACCGGCGTGAATAGCTTCACGCCTCGGGAGTCACATCGCAAACGCGATCTTTCTCGCATACGAAGGGTTCTCAACTAGCCCTCAACGGCCCTTCGCAGCTTTTCTTTTCCCCCATTATTTCGCGATCGGAACGAATATCTTTCTCGACTGCGGCTTTACTTTTCATATCATCATCGATGTCAAAATAGAGAAAGTTAAAATGTTCAAAAGAGAATGAATTTTTTTTTTGTCGATCCTGTTAGCGCGTGGTAAATTTTTTTTTTCGTTGCTGTGCGCGGAACGAACTAAACTAATAAACGTGAAAAAATAACGCCATTTATTATTGCGATCATAACCGGACTCCGCTGTAGTTGTTACGTTTCCCAAATTCAGTGATAGTACGACGGAGATAAATAAAAATATAAAGCTTGATGTATAAAAGGTTTTTCACGATGGTTTTTCGAACAAAACGGAGCGATGCAAACAGATCGATTCTGTTATTCGATGTCTGCAATCTCGAAAAGAGAAATCAACATTCGTTTTCCAGTGCGCGAACGCGAACGCGTATAACTGCTTTCATATTCTACACACGCGAACAATAGATAGGTAATGGTTACTGACAGGATCGCCCTTGGCGCCATCGTGTCCTCTGTCACCCTTGATCCCGGGTGGGCCCTGCAGTCCGGGGGTACCAGCGGGTCCTGGGGGTCCGGGCGGGCCCATTATCTATGCATCGACAATATCATGAATTAATAACTTAATCGATATTTAAATCAGAGGCACGCGATGTGATTTTTCGTGCTACATCACATGCGATTAAAGCCGGCGGCACACGATGCTTGTTTTCTTGCTGGATTGCTAGCTGGAATAAATTCTTGCCACTGTATTGGCTACGATGCTGAGACACTGTCACAGTACGGCAGCCAATACGATGGTAAGATTCTAACCCAGCTATGAATCCAACAGGACAAGCGTCGTGTGTCGCAGGCTTTAATAGGCGCGTTCAGAAGAAAAAGCAGCTTTACAAGTGTTGCGAAACTTTAATACGATAGTTCTTTAATATGATTGATCCTGTCCTTAGTTCTTCACTGGATCTAAATCAATCATATTAATGTATTTTCCAACTGCCCTTGCAAAGCTGTTTATTCTATTCTACGCAGCCATTAATTAATCACTAAAATTACACCACACAGGACTTTTATCTAAAGAATCATTTTACTTTTGTTCACCGAATATTAAACAAGAATAAAATGAGGTCTGAAAAGCACTCGAGTGGGAATCTGAACACGTCCGCAAAATTTCTAATAATTTATTAGATCGCGATCTAGCACGAAAAATCATATCGTGCATTTTATCGATTAAGAAAAGGTTATTCTTTCGTAAGTAATTAATTTTTGGGTTCTAAAACAGCTATGGAGATTTCGATCGATTATAATTATAAAAAAGGCATAATTATAAAATTTTAATCGATAATAATAATGAAAAATGAATAATTATGAAAAGTAAATTATTGTTGTATTTTATTTTCCTAAAAATTCCGACGCGGATGAATGTATCATAAAATCGAGGAGAAAAACGGATTTTGTTCGACAATTTTTACAGCTTTGAGCGAATTGCTTTATAATCCCCATAAATCGTGCCGCAAAGGGTTACACATAACTACATAAAACGCGGCCATAACGGAGCACAATGTCGATGTCGCAATGGCGCGACCGAAAATTTAAAACCCGCTCGAACAGACAACATGGAAGCGAAGTAATATTGTCCGGCGTATTTTTATTTTGTATTTTTTACAAACCGGACATTACCGTATATCGCGGTAACTAGCGGACGCATTCGTGAGAGAACGACGCGTTTTCGTGAGTTAACTTACCACTTCCCCGGCGTTCATCTCGAACGTGCCATCTCCCTGCGAACAAACGCGCATTCGTGTTCATACATGTTGTATTACTATCACGTTACACTATTCAATGTAACATTAACGATTTTCCATCGCGCATCCTTCCCCGATCAAGGGCGATTCTTTTGTCGCACGATCGAGGACGAAGGCAACGAAGATATCTCAGATACAAACTGCCACATACCTGTCTTCGCCTGAGCTTTTTGTACTTCTATGGATGGAAGGTCGATGTCCCGCCATGAAAAGAAATTTATTTTATCGTGAGATACTGCCTAACGCACGCCTGCGTTGAAATCGCAGTTCTGGTGCTATCGCGATCGCACCAAAACTGCGATCGATCGTGAAGCTATTGTGACGAAAATATAATAGCATTTATGCGGAAGATGCGGCAGCTTCGCGATCGAAATCACGGCAGCTGCATTTATCGACGATCGTCCGTCAAAGATATAGATATTATTCTTCGATAATAGAATCTTGCTTAAATTTATTGGATCCTGAATAATCCTAATTTCTGCAAAATCATTCCGGTGGGATCATATTTCATACGTACTGTAACCATGATTCGATTTAGATCAAGATATTAAAAAGGCAAAAAGTAATAAATATGTAATTGAACAAACGTACATTATATTTATATATTTATAATTCCTTATATACTTCTCTTATTATATAATTCATATTATTTGTATTTATATAATTCTTTTTCTACAACATTATCCATTTTTATTAGTTTTATCATATTATATAAATTATTTTTGATTTCTCTTTTATCGAACAAGAATTAATGATTGATATCACATTAATTTTCAAAACAGCGTCAACGCAACAAAATTTAACAAACTCACCGATTCGCCTTTCTCTCCCTTTTCGCCTTTCAGTCCAGGATAGCCCTGTCAACAAGTAGAATCACATAAGACGGAATATTTATGATAAGAAGGACTGTTGAAGTTATGACGTTTAAGATCATTTACGTACCGGTGGGCCGGGTAGACCCGGAGGTCCCATAAGGCCGGGGGGACCAATATCGCCGTAGTCGCCCTTTTCACCTTTGGGTCCGGATATTCCCTGAAATAAGGGACAAGCAAACGCGACATATGTTACAGCTTTATTCTTTAATAATTTAAGTATGCTAGTAGTGTCAATTCGACGATCAAAAATTAATTTGTGGACATTATTATTTCAGTTAAATGATTATGTTGTAAGGCCGACAATGTGGCGCACAGATTGACTGAAACAAATGTATTTAGAAATTTATATTAATCATTACTACCCAACATTAAGCTTTAACCGTCTTTATACATATATTCTTTCTATATTTATGTAATATATTCATAGATATTGGCCATATTTTTATAGCTTTATTCTTCCTTATTTATTTTTCCTTTAAAAAGCCTTCCATGTATTACGTAATATTGATTTTGCACATTAATTAGATTAACACATAATATTCGTAACATTATATGAGCGCAACTGAAAATTGCGTTGATATAATGTTACACATATTACGTGTTGATAATTCAGCGCCAAAGGGATATCTAATATTTTGTGAATACATTATGATACATTGCGGATATATCCTTCTGGGAATAACGTGCTTAATATTCTTTTAAAGTCTTAATATTCTTTTAAATTTGGACAATGTAAAAATTCGATAATGTTTACTTAACTCATTCATATTAATAACTCGAAAATCACATTTTTTGTACCATTTTTTAAGCGATATATCGATGCTACTGAAAGAAACGTTAAATCTTAAGGCATCGAAAAATGCCACAGAAAATAACGGACAATAGGGAGTTTTTGCAATAACGTGAATTCAGATACGCTAAAGTCATGTTATCCATTTCTTAATTAGTTGTTAAGATAACTTGACTTTAACATTCCGTATCTGGTATTCCATAAACGGTATTGCAGAAACTCCCTATTAAGTATATATAATACTATGAATTTATTTTCCTACAACACTCTCGGGAGATTCTCTCCCGCATTTGCTCAACTTGATTCAACAATCTAATCACTGCAACGTAAAATACGCTGGCATTATGCAAAAGTCCGACGACGCGAGGGATATTAAATTTTCGTCACCTTTGTAAAACACGGTGGCCATAACGTCTCCCGAATATTACATCGTGAAGGGCGTGGAAAGACGAGGAGATTTGGGGAAACCATTTCTCATTTGCGTCCCACTTACCGGTAATCCGGGGGGTCCTTGGATACCAGGATCGCCGTCGGTTCCATTGAGCCCCTGCAAGCCCTGCAGTCCCATCTCTCCCTTGGGCCCTGAAAGCGAATTTGCCGACCGTGAGCTGCTCGGTTGCTCGAGCTCGCCGAAGTTAGATTAATTCGCGCGCGTGAGCGCGATCGATGACGCTCCGCAATTCCGAAACGCGCGCGTGGCAAGAAACCTCCGGCGCATTGCCCACTTCGCCTTCCGTCCGTCGTTTTTCCGCTCTCGACTTCATTTTGCTCCGGGCGATTTCCCCGTGTCGGGAATACTTCCGGCGTGTTTATCGCGTTTCGATAGAACGGCTCACCCGAGGGACATCCGCGGACACTCGACGTTTATTGTTGTATTAAATATCAGAGATCTTTGAATATATGTATACGGGATCGTATTCTTTTTAATCCGTAACTGGAACATGTGAGTCCTATATAGCGATCCTACGAGGACGTTTTTTCTTAATTTTGAAATAGTGTAATGATTTGAAATATTTTTGTTTCACGATTTTATTTTTCACAGTTTTTCTCTATTCATGTAGGCTAATTATACTATATTTATATTAAATTTCAGTACATTCTTAAAGAAAATAAAAGTAGACTAATTATTTATCGTACTATATTTGTGCTAAGTTTTAGTTATTGTTTCAAATATTTTAATTTTCTTAGAAAAAAAAAATAATAAATAAAATAAAACTAATAACAAAACTAAATAAATTAAGCTAATACAAACAAATTACAAATGTTTCAATTTTTAAAGAAAATAAAACTAATAACAAATAATGAGTTCCAAGGAACCACATATTCGTTTAGTGTCACAAAAAATACGTGTTCCTGTTGCGGGTTAATGATAAAAAATAAAGAGAATTTTTCAGATAAGTCATAACAAAACACACATTTGATTTGTATAAACTGGTTTTAAAGTGGCAGTCAATGAAATATTGTTACTACATTAATATCTTCTGCATTGTCTGCCGATACTTTGATTGACATCATGGAAAGCATTTATCACAAGACTGTCACGTTAACAATCCCTCAACATTTGCCGCTAAATGCGCAATAATATTCGCAACGTCGCACATAGCAATGATAAATATCGATCGCCCGATGACTCTTTCAGAAAACAAACGTTTAATTAAATATTCAATTCAATACGAAGAGCGAATTAATATTTAATTTCCTACATCGAACGATGGGCGTTATTAACTTTTGATTGAAATTTTTCGCGGAAGGCGAAGCTGGCGCGCATTACCGGAAGAGAATCGAAGGCACAGCCTTCAAATTCTTTTCCCTAGGGGCTAACGCGGGGTCGTTTTCAAGTTTCGTAAGGGAACTTTTCGAATCGTTCCACTATTACATATCTTCGAAAAGTTAAACAAGAAACCTGAACTGATCTCGCGCCCGTGTTCAGTGGACCCGCATTATTCTCTGTATGTTTGCATAATCAAACAGAAAAGTAAGATTCTTTAACATCACGTTCATTTGGTATACATTTTGAAATTATATGATATACATTTTGAAACTATGAGACATTATTCTTTCATACCATTATATGCAAAAATATTCGGAAGAAGGTGCGGTGCCATTGATGATACAGTAAACGAACCGTATAACGGATATTTGCCTGTTTATTTTCCTAGAAAAAATTTGATATACCATGAATTTTAAAGCTTCTCGTATTGAACGTTGAACTATTGAAGAAATCAACTAAAAACAAAAAATGAAAAAAAAAAAAAGAAATAAAAAACTTAACGATAAAATCTGATCGGTGACATTAATCGTCGTCGATCGTGGATTATCTTCTGAAAGATAGATCTGTGGCTATTACTGCTAACTATCATTTTGAGAAAGATTACACGAGTTCCGTAATTTTTGGATTTTTCGTGCGAGTGCACGGAGATATAAAGGCGAGATCAAAGGTATGTACAAAGAATCGCGGATTTTCGTGGGAGAATAATTCCACGAGGAATAAGAGGGCGGACACGATCGCTTTTTTTCGGTGCTTTATCCTTCGTCTTTTCCCGCCACGGTAGAATGGTTTCGTGATAATCTACCTGATAAACCCGCGTCTCCCATGGCGCCCTTTTCGCCCCGGTAACCCCGTTCGCCGGGCTCACCCTTCAGACCCGGCAGGCCGGGGGCACCCCTCGCCAATGCCAAACCGCTCTCACCCTTGAAACCCTACAATGACACTGCAAGGTCAGATCCAACCAGGTCCTCCATGTGCGCTGTCAATTTCTTTTTCATTGTTGCTTCTAACGAAGCGTTAATCTGTCTTGTTTCAGAGAGGAGGGAGAGGAGGAGAGGATGGTATTTCGAGATCTACGTCAATTAATTTAATCGATCTTGGTACTTCACGCCTGTTCAATTTTCACAATTCAATTTTAAGTGATAATCTACGTAATTGAATCTCTTTTTTACCTCAAGTGCCAAGATCGTAAGTGCACAGCTACTTTTGTACTACACATTTAAACACACTTACAAGTCACACTAAACAAGTTTACTTCATGACGTAGACGACGACTACTAATACTCATGCGACTACGGAGAATTCGTTAGTTAGGGTTCAAATTTAGTAGAAAATTGAGGACTACTAATGTATCTCTTTTCTCTCTCGTGCTATGATAACATCTATGATTTATAGTCTCTTCTCATAATTACAACCTGTAGAGCCGGTCCTACTGCTTAATAGGATCCTTTCTTGTTCGCAAAACGCAAAAAGGTATCCCATAAATTTAGACTTATTACATATCGGCAGTTCCACGTACATTTATGCAGCAATAAAATCTTTCAATTTACATGCATCATTAAAATGTAACGTGATATGATTTATACCGCGAAATATTATTAACAAGTTGATATAACAAAAATGCATAAAGGAGTCCTTCTTTAAATTCAGAAAATATTTTAATTATATAATTTACGAAATGTGATTCATTGAGAATATAAGAATGTTACGCGAGAGAGAAAGAGAGAAGGCGAACGAGGGGTAGGACCGACAGAAAAAGTATTAAATAAAAATAGATAAAAATATTAATATCGCGCGAAAAATGAGCATAGAGAGAGAGAGAGAGAGAGAGAGAAAGAGACACCATAGTCGCGGCAGTATAAGCTACAAACTTTGACAGGATCTTGAATACTTACGCGACAGCCTGCAGGCGCTTGCGATCGCCAGTCGATAGAGTTGCGAGAGCCTCAACACAACAACAAGCCGGGGGTAGTAGTGGTTATTAGTGATTAGTGAATCGAACCGATACACGCGGAAGAGTAGTGGGGTGGTGTTACTCGCTACATAAACACAAATTAGTTACACAAGCTACGTACACTACACGCCGAGGATATCTACTCACTAACTGTACATATACACACGCACACACTCACACGCACGCTATCAAAAGCGCTCGATATCGCCTCCGTCATCCTAAAAATAACAGTGGCGAATGCCGTGTATATCTATATACACAGTTCACTCAAAAATATCTTAGAGATTTCGACGATTTTGGAAGTCCATTTTTCCTTAGCAAAAAGTATCGAAGACAATTATATATTAGCTCTTCTCTATACTGAAAAAAATTTATTAAATTTTAATATATATCTCTTTGAATATATTGTACATAGTACTACGTAAACATTTATAATAAATATTTATTCAATAAAAAAACTGACTTACAGTCATTTAAAGTTAAATTAATGGTTTTGTATCAAATATAATTAATAAATATATATTTACATTTAGTAAATATTTACTTGGAACTAGCCAAACAAATATTTATTAAAATTTAATTTTTCTTCAGCGTATGTCTGAAAATTTTAAATTAAAGTTTTTAAACTATAGTAATATATAATAATTAATGTAGTAATTATATGTAATTGTCGAACGTTGTAGAGAAAATATGGAATTAAATTTTGCAGGCAAATTTAAATCTAATGAAAAACAAGTGAGTTCGTAAAAATTAAACTATAATACTTTCAAAAGACATCAATTCCAAGTATTGTCCGAGGATCCAAGATATTTTTGAACAAATTGGCGTACTCCGTTATCTGTAGTTAAACGTACACTTGGCCGCGGCTTTGCAATCGGGACGCACGCAGCGCATCCGGAACAAGCAGTCCGGTTTCGCATCTCGTTAGAGAAGCAAATCGAGTGGACGGGCGAAGTTGCGAGCGAGCTTGCTTTGTGGTCGAATGGCGAATTTTACGGTTCGGTGAGCCAGAGGTAAGTATCGCGAGCGGACACGTGTATCCGCGAGTTTACCGTCGTGGTTCGACCGCGAAACTGCAGCGGAACTGCCGAAGTTGCTCCGAAGGATAATTCTCGGTGTCTGAAACCGTGTCTATAAAAGCCGGATTACAAGATTTGTATAAATTTCGCATTTAATCGTATTTTCTGCAAATGCATTATATTTCCATTTACTTGCGAAATTATTCCGCATTATAGTCACAAAAAAGAAATCGCGAAACGTAATGGCAATTGCATTAAGAGAACAATTCTTCTTACAGCAGAAAGGAAGACATTAAAGGACTGATTTGTGTTCAAGAGGGTGTAAGTAAAAGGAATAATATTTTTTTATAGACTCCCATTTTATGATATAATATTCGGACGATTAGGGAATATCTCGAAAAATTGAGCACGAACATGGTGTATTTATGCAAATTTCAATATTCTTGCTTAATTTTTCCTTAACCAAAATTTAATAAGAGCTATTTTTAATTTTTCGTTGTATCTTATAATTCAATATAGTCCTATATCTGAAAAAATGTATTTTTTCATTGGAAGATGTGAAACTCGTGCATGTATTTTTTTTACTCATTAGTTTAAATTTGTCATGCTTTTAGCATTACACGTGGTAAAATTCGCTGTCAAAAGTATACTCGTTCACTAGCCATTTTACTATAAAAAATGGCTCGTTGTAATTCCACAAAATAAAATACATAGAATTACGAAGAATTTAATAACTTCTAAATGGGACAGAGCACTTTTCTGTCGTAAATACATGAAACGAACAGACGAACTTTAACTTTAATTAGAGAAAAAAACACGTATTTGTGCATTAAATGTACATAAAATGATGAACATGTTTAAAAATTAATATCGTTAATTTATATGAAATTTGATTTTATAAAACGCAATCGTTTATTGTACAAGTATAATTATTTTACAGAAAATTTTACGTATTTATATATAGTATTCCCCCCCAGACGTAATTTTCAATTGTTACATTTAAATTAGCAAAAAAATTTATTACATATATTTTAAAATATTATAGTGCGAAATGCTGACGTAACAGTAAAAGCTAAGAATAAAAGAAATGAATAGAATTGCATTCTTTGATCGATTATAATCAATCTCATTTTTCATTGTCATTAATTCTATTTAATTTTAATTAATTCCCTTTTTTTCCGAGGAAATATTTCTACTTTTATGCCATGCTGAGATTGCCTAAAAATTATGTTAAACCGCAACAGCATTTCAGCTTGACACAGAAAGAGAAACCTTGAGAAACTAATATTCCTTGCAAAACCAAAGCAATGAATTTCATCAATAAAATCACATTTCGAATCACGTTTCGGTTGACAATTTCAAACACGTTATAATACCACGGTGGTCACCTACGGTCAGAGCAATCATGTCGAAGCGTTTCATTAATTTTTGACAACCACATGTTGTAACAATGGGTCAATTAACAGGTATATCGCGTTGTACTTTCGCGAAGAAACTTTCATTTCATCTTTATACAATTAAAATGCGTCGCGCGTTCTTCATTCTAGGGATGCTGTCACTCGCGGAAAAAAATACAAGCGTCTGCGGAGGATGCGCCGCGTGTGGTCGCCATTTGCAATAGCCATCGGAAAATTTACGATCGCTCGGCAGATCTACGAGTATACTTACGATGGACCCGAAAGAGTGGTACGGTCGCACGCCAAGCTCTTAGGCGCACTAGTTTACAGGTGTTAGGCGCGTAGGCGTGTAATTCGGCCGGAAGGAGAGCGCTTTAAGCCCGCCACCCCTGTTTGTTCGCTCGCTTGCTTGCTTGCTTGCTTGCTTGTTTGTTTGCCAGCTCACAGTCTGCGGTTCGCGAATGGTGCCGGTGGTGATGAGCGCGAATGCGTGGAGACAATCGACGTCTCGACGTTCGCGCGAGAGGTAAAAACACGAGAATAAGAAATAAGGAGAGAAAGAGAGAAGAAGAAAGAATTAGGGGGTTGAGAAGAGGGGGTTGAATCCGAGGAGAAGCCTCGGATGTCATAATATGGATACGTGTTATTTGCTGCTACCAACGTTTCTTTTTTTCTTATCTGCTTTCTTTTCCCGTTCCTGCTTACTATTCTACTTTTTTCTTTTTTCTTCATTTTCCATGTCGTTACTTTTTTCGCATTTTTCTTTATGGGACAGACGAGTCCCCAGCAGTCGCTCGAGGTACGTATGCAATTCCGAAGATGGACACGGACGGGCGAGGAAAGTTCCCGAAGGAGGCGCGAGAAAATATCGCGTGTAAAAAAATATACATACGCGGTTTCGCGAATCGAATAGCGACAAGAGCGATATATCTGTAACAATGTGTTGCCGAATAACAAATAACACATGAAATATTCTGTGGTCAGTTTATAAATGTATGAATTTCAAATTCAATGTTACTTCATTCGATAGGAATCGAATATATGTATGTGCGTGCGCGACCGCATTTAAAAACTGTCGCAGTTGTTACATTGTAAATACACTGCAATTGCGTTGTAAACACTCAAATAAAAGAAATTAATTGATCAACGTTCATTGAAACCTTGTGGAAAAGTTCCCTGAGAATTCCTGGATTTTCCAGATATTTTTATTCAAAATTCCAGGTTAGAGAATGCAACTTTGAAATAAATTAGAGTGCAAACAACGTAAAATTAACTGTGTATTAAAAATTAGTAAAAGATTCTACGAGACTATATCTATCGTTTTCTACAATTGCGAAATCTATACGACTAACAAAGATTCATTCTCTTCTGTTGAATATTATCTTCTATTTTTACCCTGATTTTTTAAATAAAAACTCGCGAAGATGTACGTGAATATATGCAAATGATGCTATACTTATCGCTAATCAATTGTTAACATTTTGCATTATCAAACAAAAAGTGTTTGCAAAAAAACTGTATTTTCAGAAAAACACAGAAATTAAATTTAAAGATTAAATTTTTTAAATTTCTCTGAGTACCGATACAATTCTGTGAAACTTCCTGATTTGTAAGATTACAAAAAAAAAAAAAAGAAATCTCCTTTGGAAAATTGCAGATTTTCCAAATTTTTCCGGGTAGTAAACATCATGGATCAATTACATTTTTTACACGGAATTGAAATTCTAGACGTAGAATCAAGTGGAGAAGATTCGTTTCTCGTTCCTTTAACGCCGTCTCTTCGTGTCGCGCAACCACGGCTCCGTCGAGGAAGTAAACATCCTCGCGAAGCGAGATTACAAATCGTCTCACAGCGAGGAACTTCCCTCTGCCCGTAACCGTAACCGAGTTGTGACGATGCTGTTCGGCTGCAGTTTATTCGACGATGCAAATGTGACGGAGTGACGTACGTGCTCATGCTCGCGTGACTGCGTGAAGAGTGCCGTGCCGTGCCGTGCCGTGCACGCGCGTCGTGCTTGCGGCTCGAAGCGTCTCGCAGCGCGAGCGGAGTCGCTCGTTTTCGGAACCAGAGAGATCTCGAAGATTACAAAATCTAATATTCCGCGGGAAAAGCTCGAGACGTCGGCGATGTTTGAAAGTAGGGCGAAAGAAACCAAGAAGTCGAAAAGGAGCGAAAATGGATAAAAAAAAAAAAAAAGTCGCATATTTTTCGCGCAGAAGGGAGAATTACGGCGTTTGTTCTCTTCGGCACCGCGAAGAATTTAATCGGCAAAAAATAAAGGATTGATGATTGAAATCTTCAGACGAGTCGAGTGCAATTTCATTTATTTAAATCTACCGAAGTAATTAATGCTGAAATTTATCAGGCAAAAATCGGGGGATGAATAATGTTTTGCTGATTTCTTAAATTAGATTGATTAGAATTGAGGTACGAGCAAGCAAACGAAATATGATGAGACCGATATATATCCACTGAAAAAAATATAGTCAACTTTAATAAATATTTAGTTGAACACTGCCAACTAAATATTTATTAAATATAAAGATATATTTATTTGATACAAGAAATTTGATTTAACAATAATTTTTTTTACTGAACAAATATTTATTTACTGTAAGTAAATGTTTAGTTGGCAGTGTTGAACTGAATATTTATTAAAATTGATTGATATTTTTTTCTCAGTGTATAAACGTAGTGCTTTACGAGAAGATCCGTTTCTCCAACGCGGCATTAAGAGCGACGTAATCGGGAATATCAATTCAGGCAATCTCTAAGGCCATGTGACGGAAATTTTGCTGACGCTAAACACTCGATCTATATATATCTACATATAGATTCAGACTGGAGAGGCATGTGTTGTGACACGTTGTAAAAAAAAAAACCAGACTGAATTCCACGCGGAAGAAAACTACGGTTACGTCATGCTACGTACATAAGAGAGATCTAAATGGTGACGCAAACCAAGTCAAGAAGCATGCGGTTATCAGCGTCCGAGGGACGTGAATGTTCAATATACCTTTGCTATCATGCAAAAACATGCATATATCATGCGGGACGCAGGATGCAACTGGAAGGTTCAAGAGGGTATCAGGGAACAGATTGGATGGACCATCCCTTTCTTTCTTTTTTCTTTCTTCTTTTAATTTGTTTCTGCTTCCTGCTACGTTCGGATTCAATCAACGGATAACGGGATCGGTCGGATGGATGGATGGCTGAGTAGGGATAGGGTGAATGGATGGTCGTACGGGGTTGCTTTGGTCGATGGTCGGCGGCGGTCGGAGGACCTCGCTGAAGCTTACCCTCTTCCCTTGCTTTCCCCGAGTACCCTTCTCGCCGGGTAGGCCGGGCGGTCCTGTCGGGCCCAGTTCTCCCTTCTCGCCCGGAGATCCTGCGTGCCGTGGATAAGATGAGACATGCTGCCCGCACACCACGCTGGCTCGTCCGCACGCACGCACGCACGCACGCACACGAACGAGCAGCGCGGAATTTCCATTTTTCGAAGAGAATCTTCGAGTGATTGAACGCGGCGTTTCACGACGGATCGCGTGATCGAGCTTTACGAAAATAGATATGGACCGAAAGAACGCGGCGCTTGCGGCGATTTTGGAATAAAACAAATTGTGCGAAGAAATTTTGCGACAGGTAACGCGATCGGTTGAAATGTTACAATGTAAACCCGAATGTAACACGATCAATTAGAATTACGCGTAAGAAAATGGTTTTGCTGAAGTATCTAAAAATTCAGTTATAAGATACAAATCTGAAGATAATTTTGTTGGACCATCAAAATAATTATGCAGAAGGCTTAACGTGGATGACAATGTTGCAAAAAGTTTTAACATTCTAGTAATTAGTTTGAGCGCCCTACGTAATTATTTTGATAGTTGAAACAAAATTTTACTGAGATAAAATTTATTAAATCTTAATATATAATTTTTCAATAGCATTAATTTTTAATTATAGTAAATAAATATTTATTTAATAACAAATGGAGAGTTAAATCAAATTAATGGCTTTTGTACAAGTAAATATAAATGTACATTAACATTAATCGAAGAAATATTTAATTTAGTACATTTTTTTCAATGTAGAATTTTTAAATACTTCATAGTAAAATCGTTCTTCCCGTGTAAGAATTGAAAACTGCGGTTTGTCAAGCGTCATACAGATTAACACTTCATTTGCAGTGACGTGCTTGATCGTTACTTTTTTATCGACTGTCTTTTGATTTATCTACAGTTCTCAGATAGAACTGACAGCAATATATTCTCGCAACGAAAACGATCAATGCTATTCTGTCACACGGCAAAAGAACTTCTATATCTGCATAATAGGATTTTCTTTCATTTGCTCGCCAGTAATAGAATGACATTTGTCATAACTTCTATAATACTGATATAAAAATTAGAGAATATTTTGTCTTTATAAAATTTGTTTCAAATCGATATAAAATTAAATAAATTTATATTATTATTTTCTTTTATATTTTATAAAAGAAAACTTCTTTGGAAAATGAATTTGAAATTTGCTTATCTTCCTTTAGTGATTAATATCGCTAAACACATAAACTGTTAACTTGCGTGTGTTACTTGTTTTAACGCGCGAGCTACCTTTTCTAGGTGTTATTTATACTATAAAGTACACGAAATGGCAACTGTGTCTGTGTGTGTGTGTGTGTGTGTGTGTGTGTGTGTGTGTGTGTGTGTGTGTGTGCGTGTGTGTGCGCAAAAATTTCCACGTGCACAAAACGAAATTCGAGGATCGCGCGAGCGTACAGAGTAAATACACCGCGTGGCGCGCACCGTTGATTCTAAAATACGACTTTGTACAATATCGACAGTAGCGAGTTTCTGCGACTCCGCTGCTTGTTGCAGTTCGTGCCATGAAATTGCGAGACGGATTTGTATGTGGCTAAATTAATTCTGTCAGGCGCGCATGTATAATGCTCGGAAACGTTGTTACCCCATCCTTGGTTCTCTGCTGTCATCGTACAACGGTATAAAGACGGATTAGCGTTCGCGTAATTTCGTTTCTGTCGAATGCATTGGACTCGTATAGTTGTTAGCCGCCCTTTTCGCGACGTTGTCTTCGACACGATCATATCGGAGTTATCTTATCAACGCTAGATTATTTTCTTGCACAGACGAAGATAAACTGACGTAAAGCTTTCATCTAAAATTCACAAGGTCTACTAAAAAAAGAGGACTTTAAATCCGGTCTTTCTGCTAAATCCCTTTCGAGATCTTTACCTTCAGTTTATTCTTGATTGGAATAAAAGATTTTATCTCAAGATATGATCTAATTACTTCATTTTACGAAGGAGATTAATTTCATTCCATTCGAATCGAATAAACTTATTTTCGAACTGTATGTTTGCAATTTCATAAATAAATTGCATAAATTTTCAATAATTGGTTTTCCAATCGTCTCTTTAAACTAGTTACAGGCTTTCGTAACGAGCGCTTAAAACTGTTTCGGTGTTTCCTATTTTCCTGACGGTTCTCACTCAATTATAATCACGGTGTTTCTCTCGCGGATCAATCATATCGCGAGGCAGGTAACTGATACTCGCGACGCTTTTGCCAATATCCGACATATCACGGTCAACACGGCGCGCTGTAAACGGTCGTTTACGAGTAGCGAGATCGGATTCTGAATACGTCCGCGATCGTAAATCATTTTCTCGCCGACGCGTCGCGCGTACGAACGTTGACGAACGACCGAGTCGTGAGATATTGGCGCGAGAGGTGGGTCGGAATTTTTTAAGCCGACAGTCGCCGGCGCGCTCGTCTTTACGCGACGAGATATTCTCCAGCTTCCGCTCATCGCGCCGCGTCTCAGGACGTTCTCTGCGCATTTATTACCCTTGTACTATTCACGAGAAACGTTGCGCGTGGTGTCTCCTGTCTTGTAATTTTAAGCAGGGCTGAATCTTTTACACAGAGCATCTTAGAATTGTCGCGACGGCTCCCAGAGGCCACAGATTTCTCGGTTACACTTAGAAGCGATTTTTTTCTCGGCGAATATTTCATGAAAATTCTACGTCGCATCTTTATAACGTTAGCGCCACTAAACATCTTGGAACGAAATTCGAATTGTATATTATAAAGTTAATTTAATTTTCTACCAAGTTAAGAATACTTATAAAGGTTTTTAAAATCTCTTTTGTCACGTCCTATTTATTTTAAAACTATATTATCCTGGCTTTGCAGTAATGTTGTACTGTGATACTTTAACGTCGAGTTATGATGACATCTAATTATTTTTCTTTTATTATGGAATTTTTTTCTTCTAATTGTCTTCTTTTTTGTAAGATTATTTTCACCCAAGCAAAGGAAAAAGTGATTATGTGACTCCTGCTTCCAACATGAGTCCTACTTAAAATTCTATTATAATTAACATCATCTCTTGCAAAAGGTTTTTAACTTATTCTTAGGATATCGAAATGTGAAATATTGCGATGGCGAGACTTTTTTTGTCAACAGAATTAACGCAAAAGTATTGCTAAGAGAACGTATTTATAAAAAGAAATTTCTGAATTTAATAATATCTGAATAAGTTTAGAATTTTCTATGAGATTAAATTATTTGGATTTCATGGGAAGTTCTAAAAAACCTGAAGGAACTGGATTCTGTAAAAGAGGACTCACTTTACCATATCACAGGTAGTCACATCATAATGTCTCTTTCATTTAAACAATTTTTTTTCCATTTTGTAAATTATCTTAATCAAATATATTTTTCAAGTATATTTTCATTAAACTCAGATCAATAAATTATCTGCGACATGATTGACTTGAATATAATTAAAAACTACAAAAATTATACACAGAAAAACAAAATGGAGGGTCAAATTACCGCCTTTTTCTCTACGAGTTTCGCGAGATACCACCATGTACATAAATGTGTGCGCAGTTTTTTGGTGCTCCTCGAGGACGCTCAACTCCCGAAGGGTTAACGTCCGATCCGCACGGGACGAGTGGCGGTAGAAAAAAAAAAGGAGGCTCGCGCGAATGGCAAAGAAAGATTTGCTCACGGCCGCATACATTACTATATGCCGGCGAGACACAGCACGTATATACGCCCACCGTGCGCGATCGCTTCTCGATCTCCTCTTGACTGAGAGGAACCTGCATGGTCATCCAAGTCAAGATTTCCTCGTCAAACATTTCCGCCTTTTCTTCGTCCGAGGTCACGCCGGCGCGCGAAGATAATCGATTCGCGAAGATAATCGGACGAATGCCACATCGCGTTCCGATTCCGAATTATCGCGCGTGACCGACTTAATTCTCTTGTGGATCACAATACTAATGATTTCTCAATCGCGCACTGCCCGGCAAAAAAGAATCCATGAGGAAATAATAAAGTGGAAGATTATAGCATTAAATAATATCATTAAAATAATGACGTGGAAAATATCAATTTTAATAAATGATGTGAAAAAAGTATTAATTTAATAAAACGTATTATTAATTGAAATGTAAAATACTGTCGAGGAAATGAAAAATAAACGACGCAAAGAAAAAAAAAAAAATATCTAGCTCCGTGTATGATTTCCTGATATAATTAGAAAAGCTACGATATCAGATTCAAATGAAATGCTAACGAAATAAATAATTTGCATAGAAGATTCGCAGAGAGTTACCGTGATGTGTTCTCGTATTCCTCACGAGAATGCAATTGACGTGTAATGTTTAATCATTTATTTCGTATGCAGATTATCTCGTTTGTATGCTTACCAGGTGGTCCTGGTGGACCAGGTGGGCCTTCAAATACTCCACTTGGAAACTGCTCACCCTTTAAGGTCGTCGTGAAGCCCCGATCGCCTTTATCACCCTTGTCACCCTGTCGAAAATAAACTTTCGATGACTTTCCAATAATTATTCCACACATTCACGCAACTCCTCTCTCATATTTCTCGCTTCGTTACAATAATTATTTTCTAAAAATGAAATTATCACGTTTCTTTTTCCACGGCAATTCTGTCCAACGCATACGGCAGGTTAATTAAAAGAACACTTTCCTAAATGGATAGCATTTGATGATCCTTTATCGTGGCAGTATCAAGCGTCAGTAATTAATATGCAGGAACGTGCTTTCGAATGTAATTAATTATAGTTGGATTAAATTAACAATGCGCCGGACGTAATTAATACTCCATTGTTCTGTAATCGCTCTGTTGTACTCCATTAATAATTATCGGTTACGTAACCTCTTGAATGGCAATATTAAGAGCATAATATCTACGTTGCGCTTTTTTTCCAACGACGGACACCTATGTACGAGCTTAGTTTTCACGTGTAAAAAGAAAAATTTCAAATAATACGAAAAATCGTGCATAGTCTTCTCATCTTCGCGCTAAATATGTAGATTGAACGGTTTATCGCCCGTTATTAAGCGAAATTGAGACGCCGTTGAAATTTGAGAGAAATTCAAAATCCCATGAGATTAGCCGGATTTGTTTCAAACCACGTACTTGAAAGCACGCGGCTCGTAATCATTACATAATTCCACGGTATAACGTGGTTACCTGCGGTGATACATCCGTAATATTAAATCACTCTCTGCGGAATTTTGAATCCGCGGTATCAGATGTTTGATATTTCGAAATACGCAAGCCCGCGATTATGCGTGAAATCGCGCTTTATAATATCGCGTAAATAAAGTTAAGTTTAATTCCAGTTAAACGCCAATATTACCAATCTACCTATCGGCAAATCGGGAATGGAGATAATTTATACAATGATATGATGTAACATATTTATGAAAATACAATTTATTTATATTATCTTATGAATATATCGTGTTCACGCGAGAATCCAAATTTTGCGACAATATACTTTTTGTTCCTTGCCTTTATTTCTTTAATACTGGAATAATTACAAATCCTTTTAATACATTTTTAATTAATATTAATGAGAATTAATTTATCATTCGAGAGATAATTTTAGTTTCTTAATTATCTTTCCAGCTCAGCTTTGTATATAATTAATTCCGTATAACAACTTTTTGATATGTTTAGAAATTATCTATATATTACACGTAAAGAGAAGCGTAAATGAGATATTTATAAATTTCAATAAAACTTTTCAAAAATTCTCTACGGAATATTTTTATAACGTTCTAATATATTTTTAAAAACTAATATTGAAAGAACCTTTTAAATAGGTCACTTATACTCCTCTTCATTCTTTTTAACGTTAGTGCATTCTTTGCTAAGAGAAAGAATGCTATTTTCACTCCTCTCATGATGGGAAGCACCTGTCACGCCATGAAAAAGGGGATCGAGGAAAGCTCTTTAAATTTACGGAAATAGGTGACATTTGATATCTCGGTGTCCCAAAGACGAAGATGGTCGACGTGTAACCAGAGATAAAACGTGGATTAAATCTGTCTAATTTACCTTGGGACCTGCAAGTCCTGGCGTGCCCGTCGGGCCGATGGGCCCGATCGGCCCGGGCGGGCCCTTCTCCCCTGGTGCGCCGACCTCGCCTGGAATCCCCTGTCTGCCCTCATGTCCAGGAAGACCCTCGGCTCCTGGCGGACCGGGTGGTCCCGGCGGCCCGGGTTCACCCGGCTCTCCCTGTTACGTCCCAAGAGCGTTACGTCGTTACGGCTTTTCTCTCCGGCGAGAGCCCTCGACACAAGAGTGTCTCTCGGTACTCGTCGGTTTGTGCCACGGACTGACGGGGGATCGACAAGGGGAAGAGAGAGAGAGAGAGAGAGAGAGAGAGAGAGAGAGAGAGAGAGAGAGAAGAAGAGGGGTCAAAGAAGAAGGAGAGTCGTATGTGTGGTGTACGATCTCTCGGGTGAGGATGGCGGAGCAGTAAAAAGAAGTAGATAGGAAAGCGAGAGAACGAAAGATAGACAGAGCAAGAGAGAGGGAGAGAGGCACAGACAAAGTTAGTAAAGAGTGGAGAGAAAGAGAGAGAGAGAGAGAGAGAGAGAGAGAGAGAGAGAGAGAGAGAGAAGAGGGAGGTATGTGGATTGGCGGGTGGACGCAGGAAAAAGGAGAACTCGCGAGAGAACAGTGCATGGAAACGAGAAAGATCTCTGCGCGCGCGCACGCCTGCGGGGAGGTACGGGGTTGCTCTTCGCGCGGATTTATGGTTTCACGATGCGGCGAGTAACTACAGCAAATTACGAAATGGACCTTTTATCGTGTTACCGTATTACTACACGGTGCTGTTTCAACGGCGCGAAAGGGCGGGTGAAAAGTTTTCGTTTAGCGAGAGAATTTTTCATTATCTCTCTTGTAAGAAGATGCCCAAAGGTACTGCAGGTGTAACCGGATGTCGTGGAAAAATATCTTCGTGGTGGTCTCCCTCTTTAAGATCGTTTCTTTCTTCCATAGATACTTTCATCGCGATCGTTTTCGACGTAATGTAGAAAAGTTTCCGATGTAACAGAAGCCGTTAAAAGACAGTGTCCATTGTCCGGAACTAAAATCGCGGTACGATAAGTTCGAAGGTAATTTTGAAATATCTTTAAGCGAACAAGTTTTATCTTTCCTTCTACAGTTATTGGCACTTATTCGAAGTAAAGTAATTTAATGAAACAGAAAAAAACCAGAGCTGATGAGAGAGAGAGAGAGAGAGAGAGAGAGAGAGAGAGATAAGGTTTTGATTATACTTTTAAGTAGCAGTTTCAGCTAATGGGATTTTTGTAAAAAAACATTTAATTAATTCTTGTTTCTATACTTTTCATCATTATCGGAAAAGAACTCAACAAGCGAATATCTTTGTCAATTTTTTTTTTCTTTGCAAAATTAAACATCCCAATAATAAAATCATAAATATTTTTGAATTCCTATCGAATTAAAATTCCACTAAAATTACCGGAAGATCAGAATTTTATTTTTAATAATTAATACTTGTGCGCGCGGCGCGTGTATGACGATACGAAAAATATCGCTGTCAGCACGTGTCATGTGCGGAATAGTACGCGTGCTCTCTCGGGTCAAATATTAATTAGACCCTTCATCAAACGCATTCGGGAACGATGAATGCCGCGGTTCGTCGAAGGCCCAGCTATTGAAACAGCATTTTCCAGCGGCGATGAGACAACCCGCGTATATACGAGTGAGCAATTAATTTCTGTCACGACCGGAGAGACACATCAGCGGGGGCCGAGCATGAACGGCCTCGCCCGAGAGCAACCACCCTGCACCCCCGTAGCAAATGCGCGCGGAGAACACGTGTTTATATGCGTTCGCGAGAGACTACGCTGAACGCGGGAAAGACGATATGTGCGCGATAACGCGCCGCGACTCGACCACACTGAGCGCATACACATGCATGCAATCGCGAGTGTCTGGATGATGGCCGAGACAAATAACGATGGATCGTCGTTCGGTGCGTACAGCGGGACACCACATACACGCACAATATGCCCAGGCAGACAGAAATGTACGAGCAACGCAACGTTTAGAGAAGTCTACGACACGCGGCATGCATGCGCCAGACGTATTGTACACGCACGTAGTACGTACACATATATTTGTACCCCCGAGGGCGCAGGTGCCCCGCGGATGAAAACTCAACCCGGAATAGCCCGTCGAGACGCGTTTTCGGAGATATACGCGGTCGTCGCGAGTATTTTGCGTGAGGGCAACATGTTTCATGGTTGACAAAAAAAAAAAAAGAGAAAGAATAGAATAATTCTTCGGCGCAGCCTATTTTTTAATTTCTCTTCCGCATATGCCGGAACCGATAGAGGCCTGAGGCACCGAGAGCCGTAATCAAACAGTAAATCTGAATACTTATGACAAGAATATTCATATGAGAAGACAAATATGAAAACTTTGTCGTATTTCTAAGTGATTAAATGTCTTCGTTGTTATAGAAAAATTGAAAAATTAAATGTCGCTCTTTTACTTTAAAAGTGACTCAACTAAAAAAAAACGTGATTTTTTTTTAGTCCTTACCATGAATGAGTTACGAATGTATATCAGAATCATAATTTATATAATAATTATATAAATTTATAATATATAATTGATGTAATATATAATTTGATCCAGATCATCTAGATTCGAAATCGCCGCCATATTTTTTGTATTACTTTCAGATAAAATACAAAAAAATCTGTAATTTTTTCACCTTGTTAAAAATATATGTAATGCATCCTCAAATAAATGTTACCTAATCATCAACTAACTTAACTTTATAAAAAATCATTACAACTCGAAAAGGATTTTTAAATCGTCAAAAAGAGTGATATTTGATCATATTAAAAATATATTCTTTATGTCGATAATATTCGAATAATTTATAATTTTTTGTCAAATTGAAAAATACTTTTCCACTTTTCTGGGAAACTTAATTTTTCAAATTGTGTCACTTTCGAAGTAAAGTAAAACAATGTGAAACCATATGACACGCTATTTATATTTTAAGAAAAATTTAGTTGAATAAAATTCTTTCACTTGATTCAAATATAATAAATATCAGGTTATACTCAATGAAGACTTCGATACAACTAATTAATTAAATCAGCTTAAACTATTTCGTTTTACTTTGCTTTTGCGGAATCTTCTGCGAAAAAGGATGGAAGCATGAAAAACGACAAACTTCTCGCATCCCATGAATACTTACAATTAGACAATTAATGAGGTTCTTTAACAGAATAGTTAACTATGGTTAGCGTTTCATTATTAAATTCCCGAACATAGTTCTAGTCGTAGCACCGCTAGAGAAAGGAAATTTAGCTCATTATGGCTAACCACCCCTGCCAATATTTCGCGGTCGCGCTATTGTCATTTATTATTTGCATTACGCTTTATCATATCCATTGTGTCAAGCATTTCTCGTCTATTTCCATGTAAATATATTACAACGCGCTCGTATCTTCAAAAGCATCTCTATCGATACTCGCAATCGCGTCCGCATTGCAACTATATTGAAATAGCTCAGACGCGTTTCTCTTTTAGAGCAGCAGAAATACACTTTCTGAAGCGGCATTCTCAAAATAAGATTTATTCTCTCAAATAGACTTTCGGTGCAACTGCCTCTGATTTTCTTTCCCTTTAATATCATCCCTTTTTAACGAACAATTCCATCCGATGTATCGCGATAATCGTCTCACGAGCATACATTGTATATTCGGGTTTCGGTTGACCAACGCCCGCCGGAGAATCAGCAATTACTTATTCATTCCCGACAGCTACATCAATACACCATCATCGTGCGATCATGCGACTGCGATACGATCACAGGCAAGTCTACGGATACCACCTACGCGCTATAAATCGCCCGCGCATTCATCCAGCGGGTGGATGCACACCCGTAGGTGGATAGCACACGCACACACACACATACGTACACATACACACATCGCACTACGCGCATAGAGAGAATAGGATAGACTGCAGATGTTACAAAGTAGTATCATGCAATGCACGCACGCACGCGCCCAATGTGTACGGGCGCGTGTGCGATTTTCGCATCGGCATGCGGGACGGGTGCGGCGGGGTCGTGCATTTTTTACTCCCGCCTTATGTGCGCCAGCGTAACGCTACCACGTTTCCGATTTTTTTGCTTCCCTCCTCCACCCCCTTTTTTTTCCCCTCGCGCACACGTTTCCCGCCGGGATTTTTTCGCGGCTACGCGACCACGTAATCCGCGCTTCTCGCGTAAAATTCCCTCTCGCGGAGGCGTTCGTGAATTTCGAATGCTTTTTTTTGTCCCCCGCGTATGTTTTTCTTTCAGTATTGACACCTTGCCTGCATATGTTGCGTTGAATGCAAAAATCAAACTCGATCGTGAAGGTTTATTCGAAAAATATTACTGATAATTATGAATATTTTAGTAAACTGAAAAGCATTATCAATACTTTATTTCGTCTGACTTCTGTTATATTCAAGGTTTACTTTTTATTTTATATGTATATAGATAGTTGCAATAGAAATAAATAATTTGATTATAGCGAACATTTATCGCAGACATGGATAAATTTTAAGCGAAAGATTGTCTTTGTTGCAAAATTGTCATGAAGATTTTTTCGACAAATATATACGTTATTGATAAAAAAATTTTGAATATTTTATCAAATAAATTAAAAAATTTTGTTATTATTAATACTTTATTTGATCGAAATCCTCTTTATATTTTCAAATTTTATTTATGTATTTTATATGCATATACCATATAGTGTTGCAATAAAAATATACAATTTAATTAATGCAAAGTTTTATCACGAATATCAAGACAAAATGTAAGCAAAAAAATTGCAAAATTCAGATCCGATCTCTTTCATCGCGAAATTCAAGTTGAAAATTCTTTTGCCGGAATGGCCGAATATCTGAAAAGTCTCCGACTGTAAATTTGACTCTGAAAATTCGACGTTGTGAAACCGTAATTCTAAAAATCTTCCGCCTTCGGAATTTGATAAAGCGATACATCTCGGGCGACGGGACGATATCCCCTTTGAGACCCGACGAGGCGCTCGTTGAAGCCGTCGTCGTGCCGAGTCAAAGCACTACCACGGAGCGGATGTACGAAACGTGCGGGGAGGGGAACCGGTTCCATCTCTTACTCTGAAAGAATATAGGATATCGCACTGTTGGCACTCCACTGCCGATCTCCGCGTCTCCGATCTTTTGAGGAATACGAATTCGACAAGCAGCAACAGCAGCAGCAGCAGCAGCAGCAGTCGAAGCTGAGCCGAGAGGCTGTGTGTCTGCCTTTCGCGATAGGATTTGCATTCGCTCGAAAGAATGGAATATCGCGAGGCAAGGCGGTGGCTTTCCTTCGTGGATCTTCGTGCGGTCTTTCCTTTCGCGTATCGGGACAATCGATTATCGAGAATGGTATACGAGGCACGCAGTAACTTGTACACGACCCCCGATAGAGAGAGTAGAGTAGAGAGAAAGAGAGAGGAAGATGGGGCGTAAGAACGGAGGTATCGAACCGTAAAATAAAAGGGTATATCTTGTAAGGGGTCCAGCGAACCTCGCGCATGTCGATATGGCGCGAACACAGCCGGATAATTCGACTCGATCGTTGTGCGATCTTTCGAGTTACAACTACTCGAAACTTCCTTCCGCCGTGTTCGCGCCTCGTTCGGTCCCTCGGACAAACGGTGCTCAGCGTGAAACCGCGTCGACCGCGACAAAATTCTACTACATGATTAAGGGATGAATATACTAGTATATATATAGCACGTTCGCGGTATCGGTTATCCGACCGATAAATAAACCCTCCCCCCGACAACTTCCGGTTGTCGCGACAGCGAACGAGAACGAGAACTAAGTTTGCAATCTCGGAGAAAGGGAGAATTAAATCGCCCCGGGATTCCTTCGAGGTGAGCAAACTTTTGTAACTTCTTTGCAACGCGACAGCTCATTTCAGCGGGGCATTTTCTACTTTCACCAGCGAATTTAGAATGATCTGGTGGTGTTTAAGCGTCCTCGCGAGAAAGTATGAATAAACAAAAGATAAGTTCTGAAAATATTCAAGTTAATCTGCAATATTTCTTTCCCTACTTTCAAATACGAGAGCAGTTTAATAAATCAGTGACTTTTCTAACTTTTTTTTAGCAGAAATTTAATTTATTTGTCAACGTCTCTTTTTAAAAAGTCACTAACCTATCAATCTATATATAAAACGCAACTTAAAAAATTTAATGCCTTCAGAATAATGGATGCAGAACGATATTTACGGAAATATTGAGTAACAACGATACAATTGATACATTTAAATTTATAAAATGTCTCGAAATAGAACGTATTCTAAAAATAAATCGCCGAAGAGTTCCGTTGCAAATTTCGAATCGAGCACCATTCATCGAGGGACCGATAAAAGGGAAGGAAAATAAGGGGACTTCCCGAAAAGCAGGCGCACTTACTTTCAGTGGTATGATGTTCTGCGCTGAGATATTAATCCCTTTCTCCTGAAGATCCTAAAAGTAGGTCAACACTACGGGTAAAAAACCAAATCGCTACAAGACAAGAACAGGAGGAGGGGGGTCATGGTGGGGGGGTCATGGTGGTTTGACGATTTCGGTATCGGGCGGAAAGCATGGGGTTCACGTCGATTTTTTTCAGGGGGGTAGGTAGGGGAGGATACGGGTTCTCGTATCTCACTGCTCTTCCGAATCCAAGGCATGCCCAGAGATATACCTAAATACTGTAACTTAAAGTAAACACCATTACCAACCAAAAACCAAAGTGAAAAAGTGCGTCGCCGATAGTCGTTCATTCAGTGGTCTCTCATTATCGTTCGATCACGATCAATAACGCAAGTATTACATGATATGCATCAACATTTTTACTCACAATTATATTATTCTACACACATCTTAACCTTTACAGGACAGGAAAGCCACTATAGAGGCCTGTCGCGCTAAAACAGTGTCGTATTTTGAAGCAATAAGTACAACAAAATAATGAATTATGATAAATTTCATTCCAAAAAAAAAAAAAAAAAACTGTAAGATTTTAAAAATAGATCTCCATCCTCTAAAGGTTAAAGAATAAATTCCTTCCGAGATTATATTAAGTCGGAATCGATGATCGACAGAGAGAAGAGAGGCCCCGATTCGACGATCGAGCATCGACGACGCGCTTCGTTTCGTATAAACCAACGAGAGAACGCTACACCGAAAGCACCGCACGAGGCAACGACTAGCTAAAGAACAACTGGACGACAAGATCCGCGGCCTGTCGCGCATCCGGGATGTATGCGACGACGCGCGGACACAAAAAAAAAACTGACATACAGGTGGTATAACAAGGGGTTGACGATGGGGAAGAGTGAATACAGTGGGGATAGGGAATGAAAAGAAGAAGAGAAGAAGCGACGACGACTACGACAGTGTTGTTGGACAATGACGAGATGACGGGTAAGAAACAGCGGGGGGAGGCGATTGAGGAGATTGGAGGACGTCCGTCCGGATCGCGACACCGAGAAGCGTGTCGCGCCTTCCGAGGAGGAGGAAGCCGGTTTACCTTGAGGGCGACGATTTCCGCGTAGCCGAGCGTCCCGCCGCGGAGCGTCGTCACCGACCTCTTTAACCCCAATCCCTGTGCATTGACCCGTAGGCGAGAAAAAAGGCAAGGTTTATTTATTTGCTCTCGTACTGCGATGTCGCGTTGCCGTTGGCTGTTGGCGGTCGACCGGCGAGCGAGCGCGTAACAGATTTTTGCATGAAATTTGTTTTCACGACAGATGGAATCCGCGTGCGGGAAAGAAGCACAGAAAGAAACGCGAGAGATCGACGGGATTTTTTTTTTTTCCTCGCGCTAGGGATTCGTCTGATTCAGACAATGGCTGTATTCAGCAGAAAAAATTAACTTTACACTCTTACAGAAATCCAACGTGTTTAGAGAACGTAATACTTAATTCATTTATTTGAAATATTAAAAGCACTGTAATTTGCAAACAGTGCATTTAATTTTACAACAGTTGTCCTTATAAAAATTTACTTCTCTGAAAGTAATTAATTATATATTTTTAGTAATATTAAAATTGTACAACTGTTATGAGATTTAAAAGCACTATACGATAGTTTTTTAATAATTTAATTTTATAATAGTTGTCGATACAAAAAATTTTACACCAAAAGGTAGTAATTAATTATTTATTTTCAGTACTAAAAATACTATACAACAGTGCTTTTAATACTCAAAGGAAGTATATTAATTACTCTCTTCCAGTATAAAATTTTTGTAAGAGCAACTGTTGCAAAATTCTCTAATATAATTGTAATTTGTACATTTAGATCTAATGAGGAATTAAGAGCAAGACCAATTGTATTAAAGAATTTCGCAACAGTTGCAAATCTCTGCTGAACGCAGCCAATCACACCAGTTCCGCACTGCCGCTGCATTTTGACGGATGGCGCGCGACGGATCGTTCGTTTTCCGTTGTACGTCGTTCGAACGTGCAAAACGTCGCGAACGAGTTTTACGACAACAAATCGCACGCAACAGTTGACGCGATTTTTTTCCGGACCATTATTTTTATCCTGCCGTTATTTATTGATGACAAATGTTTTACTGTATGATAAAAATAATTTCCTTCCTCCATACAATAAATATATAAAATAAAATATCATATTTCGAATAATTAAATTAATTATCATTTCCTAATTGCTGCTTTAATATCTAAAACTGCGTCTGTTCAGCTTACTCCGGAATCGTTCTTGTCTTAAATAAAAACCTAGAAAAATACATATTTATATATTGTGACTGTGCCAAACATTTTCGGGAAATAATTTTATCGAATAGGTCAGATAAAAAATCTTTATAAAGATTTCCAGTATACAAGTATTAGTATTTATGTAAAATATTGTGCTCTTAAATTGTGATTATAACGAGAGTCTTATTAACTTATAATTTAAACTGAAACAAGATTGACAAAAATTATCGTCAAATTATGTATGTTGACCCGGAAACTTTTGGCAGCCACCGTATAATCTTTATATCTTAAATTTCATTTAGCCGTCGATCATCTTTGTGCTTCATCGCACGCGGACTCCGTGCTCGTGATATGCTCGTCGTCGTCGTGCGGCAACGCATCGATCGATACTCGAACGCGCTTGTTGCACGTTGGATCGAGAGGACGCAGAACCTCGGTGATTTCGCCCTGGACACGAGCGTATGCATATGCATGCGCACGGACAAATGCATCGCGCATGCATCGCCGTCCTCGAATGAAATCGCTCGAGCATCGCTCGACTTCCAGGGTGAAACTGGTTAGGTCCTCGAACCCGGCAACGACAGGAGGGTACAGTGTATACCTCCTCGTCGTGTGACACTTCGTGAAAGAAATCGCGCGCGCAAGTGCGCTCGAGCGGAATGAGGAAGCCCCGACCTTAAAAAAAAAAGCGACGGGTTAAATAAAACGTCAGTTCCTTTATGTAGGATCGAGGATTGCTGCGTGAAACGTTATTTCAGACGCTTTGACGTTTTTACAAATCTCGTTTTCGCGCGGAGATATTTAATTGTCGCGTATATATAACCGCGGTGACGAATTAGGCCACCCGTAGAGCTTCGGATATATGATTTCCCGGGAGGATTCGTATACTCGTATAAGAGTCCTCGTTCTACTTCGGATCGCTCCAAAGCGGAGCTTTCCCCTGCCCGTAATACTAATTTCTTCGCTTCGATTCGCTTCCAGATATTTCTGAAATTCTTCGGGCTAAAATCACGAAATCCGTGTAATTTATTCGATTAATCGTCGGTCCTTTGACGCTTCATCGGCGACGCGATCGAGAAGGCGTTAATAACATTCCCGCTCGAGTGCACTTTTACCACGTGAAATGAGATTTGCAGCTTTACGCGCGATGAAAATATCGTTTTACTTCTTCTGCCCGTACACCCTCTTCCGCCGTCCCTTCAGGATTTATCCCGTATTCTTCTCGCCTCTCTTTCTCCCTCCGCCCTGTGTGTAGTCGGCCACGCCACGGTACTACACACGTTCCGTGGACTTTACGAGATTGCGCTCTGAAGGACGACGACGGAGGGCTGCAGGGCGAGAAATGAGAGAGCGCGGCACGCATTTTCGCATTACGACTGCGCCGGCGGATATTGCTTTACTCTGCGCCAGATAGCGTAGCTTAGATACCTTTACTGCGGACAAGACGTCGAATCCGGGGCTGCCCAGCTCGCCCTTCTGCCCTTTGTCGCCAGGTCGGCCCTGTGAACAAAAGGAACGCTGCGTATTACGTAGAGTAATAACGACGATATACAGAATACAATAGACAGAATGAACAGGCTTTTTTTCGAAACGAGTGTTGTATCATAACTGTGTAGCGATCAAATATCTCTCGGCTCTTACCGCGCATTATTTCTAATTTGTGAAGTGGCTGTAAAATTTCGAGAGAAAATTGAAATTTTTTAGAGTTTCTTTTTCTTTTTTTTTTTACATGCAATTCTATACAATATTTTAAGAGAATTTTTTACCATCTCTTTTTGATCTGTTAAATATCATCTCTTTTTGATGTTAAAACAATACGCCGGGATTTCATTTTCACATCAGCTTTGCTGTGTTGAATCACTATGAAGACACTTCCGACTTTCAGCTTTAATTAAGAATTCTGGCGCACTCATTCCGTGTTAGAAATATCCGATAGCGTAGAGCTCAAAATGTCTGTCTGAAGATTCTGCAGATTCTACTATTAATTAAATAAGACTCTCTTTCGGATAATTTTCTAAAATCTACAAAGATATTTGAGATGCAAGATTTTGCACTTTAATCTCGACGTCAATTATTCTTCATAATGACACATGTAATTAATCCTTGACTACTTTATCTTCGCAGACATAATTACTTATATTAATGCCAATTCAATAAATATAAGTGCTCGCTACAATTCATGCCACCAAATTAGAAAGCAACGTCAACTAAACTTCTCAATTTTTGTCTCTCTTCATAACAAATAAAAAAAATTTATTAAACAAATTAGAAGATGAGAAGATATTACTCTAAAAAAAAAATACTAAATTTTGATAAATATCTGTTTGAATAGTTTTGAAGAAATATTTACTAAATGTGATACAAAAACCATTAATTTTACCATCATTTTTTTTTATTAAATAAATATTTGTTTATTGTAAGTTTAACTTAGTACTATTCAAAGAAATATGTATCAAGATTTAATAATTTTTTTTTCAATGTAGACGAACCTAAAAATCAAACCGCATATTTTCTTTGATACTGTATAAAATACTGCGCTAGGATCAGATTCAATCTACAGTTGTTTTAGTGTCGATATCCGATCAAAAGTTCGAACCAAAATCCTATAAAAAATCAATCCTATTTCACTACATGCAGTTTTTTCAGATCCACTTCTGCGTATCTACTGTATCGATGCGCGAGAGCTATATTATCGTGTGACGCGTATCCTTCACGACGTATCTTGACGAAGAGAACGCGGATCTGCATAAAATTTCGAACTTCGCAGACACACGAGGGCGATTTGGATTATGCGATCCAACCAACGAGGGTTAAAATCGCAATTTAATATTTCGTCCGGGTCAGCTCGCAGTGTAGATAGCGCGGTTGTAAATTTCCAAGAAGATAAACCTGTATGTTTGCACGCCGGATCTTGCCTCTCCATGAGTAGCGAGTAGAGAGTAAACTGCGTGATCCCGAGGCAAATTGCGGAGTCACAGCTACCGCCGCTTGTAACCCGCGCTACGAGTATTTGCACGAAATCCGATATAAACGCCGGATTCGTTATTCGAATCTCGGAATGCCCTTAGTACGATTCGGCGCCGGGTATTGGTCGCCAGCGTACTATGTACATACTCGTTTGCCACACTCGTTTAAAAAGAAAACGCCGGCCGGGCAAAGAGAGGAACGCGAGGAAGGAGTCGATCGTGCGGGTCCTTTCTTCCCGGCTATCGACAGAATAAACAACTAGCGATATTTGCAATGCACTTATTGCTCTCCCTTCTTCCTATCCTCGTTTCCTCCCTCTTTCTCTCTCTCTTTTTCAATCGCGCACGTACTCGTTTTCCTCCTCTCGGACACATTTCCTCGCTATCTATTTGTTCTGTCGTTTGTACCTTACCGCCACCGAGAGCCAGTCACGTCAGTGTCCCCTACCATACAATACGTCCTCATGTATATTCTCTTCCCAGTCTATCAGGTACCTGAGCGTACCGAGTATTCCAAAACCATCGTCCGTAAATTCCTCGTAACAGATTGTTCTTTGATGAAAATTTTGTCGGACAAATAATGGCTGTACGCAAGCGAGGCGTTAAATTTTCCCGTGGATAGACAATTAATTTGGGAAATTGTTTCAGTTTGATTGCGCAAAGCCGAAAGTACTGTCATATATTTAAGATAAATTTATTAAAAAGTACATATAGAATATTATTTCAATATCTAACTTTGATGTAATTGGCGCTTTTCTTACTTACAATTAGTTGATGTATTCGTATAAGCGATTTTGTTCTAATCTTAATATTGTTAAGAACAATTAAATTATTAAAATCAGTTTTACAATGAAAAGCTAAACGCTTATTGTTCAATCTGCGTACGTAGAAAAAAAAATTTGCTAAAATATCTAAAATTTTTAACAATATTAAATCTTATAGAACCGTATGTGTAAAAAACTAAAATTTTGTTGAATATAGATTTGAAAATAATTTTATTTGATTATCACAAAATAATATTGAAAATAAAAATATTGAAAACTGATTGCTAAAATTTCAAATTTTTTTACAGCAATGCTCAATTTTTAATTTCCAACAATTGTTTTGATCATTCAACAAAATTATTTTCAGATCTGTATATATCGAGCAAAATTTTAGCTCTTTCAAGAAAATTGTTCTTTTCATGTAACATAAAGTTCGTTAAATGTCTTGAAAGACTGGCTTTAATAAAAATATTTTAATAAAATTTTTATGTAAATATAAATTTGTATGCCTCCTTCCAATTGAAATTCTGGATATGTCTATAAAATCACAATCATCTTTTTCTATTATCTTAGCATGTAGTACATCTCGGTAGCTGCGTGTCTTAAATAATGACAATATTCAAATAATATCCTCGAGATCAAGTAAGAGATTATATTTTCTTATCTGACCGTCCGCATGGCGAAAAAACACTTATTAGTGTGTCGTCAATCTTCTTAATTAATCACGTAGCGTCTGTAATTAAGGGAAATAGCAGTAATTCCGTGACATCCTGAGCGACATCAAACGTGTACGCGAAACACCGCCGTGCACGTGTATGTGTACACCAATAGACAGAGGCTGTTCTCTATGGTAAGGCAAACTAGGTGGCCACAAAGGGCTACCGACGCGCATACAAGGGCCTGTCATGCGAAAAGACTTTGCGTGTCACGAGGACCTTGCATAACCGAGAGTCACGCATATACAAGAGGATGCATGTACGGGGATATAATACAAGGACCCCGTCGTGTAACCAGCATGAGCCTCGTGCAACCATCTCGTATATGCCAGGACGAGTTCTCGAAGCAAACGTGCGGACTATGGAACTTCTATATCCTAATACGTGAATTTACGTATTCCGTTAGACGACGGTTTTCATCTTATCTACCTCTCCTGAATACCTATACCGATCCGACCTCGTTGAAAGCGACAACTCCAAAAGCGCAATGACGTGCGCACAGTCGGTTTGCATGTGCAACAGCCAGACAGATATATAATAAGACGGCGAAATAAGGAATGCGGAATAATCAATCCGTGCTCCTGTCGCTCCGATATTCGCGTGTCTACTTTCTCGAAGGGACGTGTTGCCATTACCTATGTATAGACTGTTATACATTTATGGATGATAAACGAAATGAGACGGCGGCAAGAAACGACCTTCTACGTGTCTCTCGCGTCCATTTAAGCGCGAAAAGAAGGTGATAGCAGAGCAGTTGATGAATAGGTTCAACCGATGAGTCGGATTGGAGTTAAAAGATCGCGTCTCGCGCGCGCGGAGAAAATACAACGATCGAGCGCAGCCAAGTAACTGCTTCCCGACGAACAGCGGAGTTAATAGAGTAAGTGAGTGCAAGTGAGCGAGCAAATCTTCAATTTAAAATCCGATTCATCTTCCAATTCTATTCGACCACACTGCTGCACACTGCAACCGCGACCAAGAATATGGAGTTGTCTTAATAAATCACGACAACTCTGACTACGGAGAAGTCATATGTTTAAAGAATACAATGTAAATTTTTATACTGAATTTTAATAAACTATTTTTGCATACTGAAAGCTGAATACTTTGCTGTTTATTAATCGTATAATAATTTTTTTACACAATAACGTCGCTTTTTTCGCTGTATAAATATATTCATAGGTAAGTGAATTATAGTGATTTTCTTTTTTATCTTCAATACTATTTTATCGTAAACATTTAAAAAACTGTAGCTAAAAAGAAGACGACGCCTGTACGGAAAGAACGGTTTTGATGAAAATTTATTCATTATATAAAAATTTAACTAGATATACAGATCTGAAAATAATGTTGTTGAACTATTAAAATAATTATGTAGACGCTCAAGCTGGTTACTAGAATATAAAAATTTTATGTAGCATTGCTCATCACGCTTGAGTTTCCTACATAATTATTTTGATGGCTCAACAAAATTATTTTTAAATCTGTGTGTGTATCCAGTTACATTTTTAAATACTCAGCAAAATCGTTCTTTTCGCGTCTGTAAAATTAATATTGCAACTTTAACATAGTCAATATTTTTTATCAACACGCTATGAATTAAAAATCTTTAAGTATTGAAGAAATCGCGTACCTTCTACGGAACGAACGATTTTGCTCGAATAACTGAAAATTTAGGTATAGAATTGAAAATAATTTTGTTGGGTCAAACAAATCAAAATAATCACGTGTAGAACGCTCAAACTGGTTACTAAAATGTCAAAATATTTTGCAGCATCATACTTGAATTTTCTACGTAATTATTTTAATAGTCCAACAAAATTATTTTCAAATCTGTATCTATCTAAATTATTTTCAGAACTGTATATAGCTAAATTTTTAATTCCTTCAAAATCCTTCTTTCCGTTTGACCAATTTTCATGCTATCAAAATAACAATAACATAATAATAATTTTCTCAATTATTCGTATTCGTATAAGTGCCAGTGAAAATATCTGCTTCGGATTTTCGTAATGCTTCATTTGATTTTAAAGTTTGATACGTTTTCATTCGCATTGCCTGCATTTGATCCGTGCTCGTCAAAAACAAAGTCTGATAGCGAAATGTATACCGAAAGTATCACCCATATAATTGATCATCCTGCATTTTTGCGGCTATTCGATCAACGTACGTCAGCTGTTGCAAACAAGAGAGCCGAGGAAAAGTGTCAGAGCAAAACGAGTTCGGAGCGATTGATACTTAAACGCGTTCCCGTTTCTTCAATTATATTTAGATTGCGATTCGAATACCGATCGAATCGTGTCTCGAAATATATCACAAGACTAAATATCTTACTCCAATTCCTACTGAACTGCGAAATAGACCAGAAAAGTTTCATCCTTTTAGGAACAGCTGCGCTTGACGGAAACTCGATATCAAAATTCTCTCTCTCTCTCTCTCTCTCTCTCTCTCTCATTCTCTCTTGTGTCATTATCTTTACGTCCGTCATTTCAAACGTTTGATTTTGTTGCTTTCTTGATCGTCGTCTTTTCAGACGAACGACGTCTCACCTTTTCCGTAACAGTATATAATATACACATATATATATATATATATACACGTATGTATACTTAGTAAAAAATATTAGGTACTTATATTTTTTCATTCATCAATAAAATTCTTTTACCTGTATTGTTATCTTATTAGTTACCAGCATTATATATAAGTTTAAAAGATTCTTGAAACAAATGATGATTTACAAAATGCCATAATCAATTTTTGAGTTACAATAGAACTTTAAATAATAGTTAATAAGATGCCCCAATATTTTTGGCCAAAGCTGTATCTATATAAAATACTTATTAAACTAAATCGATCGGAAAGAGAGAAAGAGAAGCACACGATTTAAATAAATTGTCAATATTATATTTAAGAACAGTGGGACAAGCAGACGCTCCCAAAATGTCTTAAGTGACCTCGTTTCAAACCTGTGCAATTAGGACAGAAAATTTATTATAATAGATAAGGCATATCTAATTTTATATATCGTATTGAATTGATTAAAATATGTATATGAGCTATCGGCTGATATCGACAGTTCAGTCAAGCGAAAATTTTCAAAGATATCTCGTATATTTAATTACAAATTGATTATTTCGCAATGTTTAGCATTTGTTTTGGTGTCGACTTTATAAAATGAAATGTTAAAAAATTTCATAAATCTAATATAACCTGGAAAATACCTGTGCGTGTAATAATAAAAAAGACGAAATTATTGGATTATTTATTACAATATGACACCTCGCGTAAACATAAATTTTGGTAAAACAGGTTTCTCGCCGCACAAAATATATTATGATTAAAACTCTCTCACGCCCATAACCATTATTCCATTAAATAATGTTATTCTCAGAACGTTAAGCGTCGCAAAATAAAATATTGCCTCTCGCGTTTTTACGAAGCAATTAATCTCGCACGCTTGTAACGCCGCGACGAAATTAAAATGTAAATTATGCGGTGAACTTACCGGATCACCTTTGGGCCCGTCCAAGCCGATGGGTCCCTGAAAGAACACCGCCAGTGAGTGCCAGTCGTCGCTCACGCGTCCGTAACGACGAACGAAGAAAAGTGAAAAATTGCGTGCGGGCTGAGCGAGCCCTTCGCTGAGCGAGAAATCTCATTCCTTGTGTATGTAACATGTAATAAATACGGGCGAGCGCGACAAACCAGAACTGTGATGAGTCGTTATGCTTCCAGACGCGACAAAAGTGCATTCGCATGATCCTCTCTGATGTGACGCGTACATTTGCGACGACCGAGGAAGCGCTGTTAATAGAAATTTTATTCGGCACACGATGAATGTTTAATTTTGAGCAGCTTCGATTCTGACGGAGCAACTTTCATATTTGATATGCCGGGTCATATCTCGAAATTGGTGTTTCACCATTGCGCCAATTTATACTGAATTTCTTTCGATATCGTTTGCCACCGTGATTAATCAGACTCGACAGATAAATGTCAGTTATTTTACATTTTGTATCTAATTTACATATTTTTCATTACGTACAATTTAAATAAGAGCTACGCGCAATACTCTATCAATTGATCGAGTGTTATGCAACGTTGTGAACGAGAAATTTTGCCCGCAATAAAATTTTACTTTTTCATACAAATTTTATGAAAACGAACATACTACTTCACATACTACTAGAAATATTCAAATTCTATTGATATAAACCGATCGCGAGTTTTCATACGAATAAGAGCTGAGGCGGTTCAAAATTGTCAGTAATTAAAACGAGAAGTGATCATACTCGTAACGAGTGAAGTATGCAATTAATCAACCCGTTTCCTCACCAATATGCGTATATAAAAGTTGCACCTTCAGTCGTCAAAGCGACGCGCCATACGATATTGAAGGTGAAGATGCCAGAGTCCGATTTCGCGTTTCGCGCACGTATATGAATTGCGCACTGACATACGATACAAAAAAAAGGAGAATAAAAAATCTAGATGGATAGCTTGTATCGGGGCCGGAAGAGGATCCAGATCGAGAGAGACAGCTCGCGGATAAAGAAGCAGGTCAAATGAGCAAAAATCGCACATCAGCGGCTACATGATACGCATTAATGGTACTTAATGGCTGTTATGTTCGATACACACAGTGTGATGATAGTCCGTGGTGTTAAAAAAAAAAAAAAACGTGACAGCGAGAAAAAGAGAGGCAGAGAGAATAACAGAGAAACGAATGCAAATGTAAGGATATGAGACAGACAGACAGACAGATAGACGTTACACAGACAGAGAGAAGCGAGAAGGAGTGTTGGAGAAAGAAAATAAAAAATAATATACCGGAAAACCGTTCTTGCCCGGCGTCCCGGCCACACCCTGTAAGAAGGGGTATAAAAAATTAAAAACTCGTTTACACGAGGAGGCAGGAGGGGGAGAGAAGAGGGGGGTGGGGATTTACTCAGGGTACTCTCTCGCGCGCATGCAAAAGCGATTATTTCGCGGACCGGCCGATCGTGCCCGCGATATTATCGGTCCCGGTCGCGTATACATATATATGTACACGATCGCGGCTGTAAGGACCCGTACATACTACCGCTGATAATTATTCCGGCCAATTAGATATTCCACGAGCGTATAAGCACGCGCGCACGCACACGAGTGTGCCGGTTCCATTCCCTCCCAGTGTTCACCCGGTGTTCCGCCAATCCGATCTTTGATTACGCGACGATCCGCTCGCTCGATCGGCAATCGCGAGGGAAATCCGATCGCGCGTCTCTGGAACACCCACGATGCTGCCAGCCGAAGAGAGAGAACCTGCTCGTCGCGACGGGCACAAAATTTCAAAGTCGATGATTAAGTTCGACAGAGATAACGATCCGACTTTTAAAGCCATTATTTCGTATAATTTTGAAATTTAATTTGCGGCCAACATATATGTCGAGGAATAAAAAAATAAATGTGAGATTTAATAATAAATCAAATTTAAAGGGAGGTAATAGCCTTCGAGTTTTGTATTAAGGTCGTGAATGTGAATAAATTGTTGTACGTACGTATAATTTGTATATACGTATGTACAGTTTGAAACTAATTAATTACGCCTTGACATAATGTAAGTTGGTATCGCGCGAATGAGATTAATTTGTTTCTCCGCTAACAACGTCATATTGTAAACTTCGCGTTTTAATCGCCGAGTCATCCGACATCGATATTTCATTGTAAGACGCAGCTAACAGGAAAGTATCAATTAAATATCAAATAAGCTCTCTCCGCATGAACCGGTATGGACGAGCTTCATTTTTTATCTGAGGCGTAATTACGCGACCAAATTTTCGATAATGTTCGAATTGAAGACACGCCCGCAGAAGTAATCTAATAAACTCCTACTTTCTTAGGAGAGGAAGAAAAAAATTAATTTCTCCCAAAGAAAAATGGAGTTTGCAACCATGGAGAGTACACCATGATTAATACACGGTAGCACTCGGCTCATTTTTTTAAACTTTACGGTTCAGACCATCTTCGCGGGAGTGTGTCTTTAATTCTCTTCACCGAGCATGCAAGTCTCGCGAAAGCGCGTACTGCTTACATTAGTCACCACTCAATGTACTCAAGTCCAGAAAAGGGGAGCAGGGGGGATAATATAACGCGTATCACTAATTACTATTTCATGCATGGAGCTGCACTCCCTAATAAACATACTCGCACGCACACAACTGCACGTGTATTAGTGCACTAATATATTCGAGGGTTATTCATACACACACACACGCACACACACACATACACACATATATATATATGCATGTTATATGGCATGCTCAGCGTGGTATTGAAGCATCGGCATGAGAGTACTCACCGGCGCACCGGGCTCCCCAGGATCGCCCTTCTTCCCTTTCTTACCCCTCTTTCCGGGTGGACCCGGCTCACCGGGTGGACCTGAAACACGAACAATGAAACTATGAAGTCGTACATATACCTGAAATACTTGCAATTCCTTCCTAGCGATAGAATGGCGCAGTTTCGGTTGCCGAGCAAGAAAAATATATACTAGGGATAGCTATTTCAACTTGTCGTACAACTACGTTAAAGAATTGAGCTTGTTTAACTCTTTAAACAAGTCAGTTCTTCAATCTGAGCGAAGTATCCACCTCGCGTGTTTCACGCTCCAGAGTATACAAAGTGCATCGAAATTTCTCGGCACTCGAAACTCCAATTATTCGCTAGCTACGTGACACGTTTTAAATCTACACGCTTGTAGTTCGAATGTTCGATTTTAGGTAAGAGCGTGTACCGTTCTACGAAATCCTCACGTTTGTATCCGTTCGGTTTTACAAAAGTGGGACGATATTTGGTGACGTGAAAACGTTTATTTAAAGATTCTGGCGAAACATTGTGAATTTACGACAAAGGACCTTTACTCTGCGATCAATCGCTTAGAACGTAAAATGTAACGGACACCTTGTATAGTACGAATGTTACCGCTAACGAAGTGTTACCCGTTGCCACGAAAATGAGTTTTCGGGATTGCGGATAAACTTCGGCAATAACCATATACCTCCGACCATTCGATATCTTGTTCATAGATAATTAGAGATATAAATTCGAAACAATAGAACGTAAAAAGAACGATTTTGCTGAAAGATTTAAAATTTTGTTAAATACAAATCTAAACATAATTTTGTTGGACCATCAAAACTTATAACTTTGTTAGAAATTCTGGTTGCTAGAATATCAAAATATTTTTGTAGCATTGCTCATCGTTTTTTAGTTTCCAACATTTCGATAGACTAACAAAATTATTTTTAAATCAGTATCTATCTAAATTTTTAGATATATCAAAACAGCTAAGTGCTTTTTCACAGCACTGCTAATCGTTTTTCAGTTTCTATCACAATCTCTCATTTTGATAGTCCAACAAAATTCATTTCAGATCATCTAATTTTCAGATATTTCAGCAAAATTGTTCTTTCCGAGTAACTATTGCTGTATATAGTTGTATATTATAGCTAACTATTAATATCGCTCTGTTTATTTATATACCTGATTCATTCAATTCTACCCATTCATTTCTGATCAATCTGGAGCAGCTACCTCGAACGTTTCAATCTTCAACATTAAGTAGTTCCGTAATCATACGTAGCTCGACGTTCAGACAAATCTATCATTATCCTAACTTCATTCCCGCGGTTGCGTGATGAAAGAGCATCCGGTAACGGACCACCCCGTAGTGCGCGAATGCCGGCGGGACGAAGTGAATCGGTGAAAAGACCGATAGATTTGACACGTAATGAAATTACGTCGTCGTTCCCGTCTGTTGGAGGATTTCCGAAAATCGAGGGCAACGAATGCGCGGCATGCAGGCGAAAATCTGATCGACTAGCTTGGCGACGTGAAACGTAACGGACTAATTCTTTTATTTGACATTTGATTTTTTTTTTTATTTTATTTGACATGGCTTCGGCAGTGAGCGTTACACCCGTATACGTGTATGTATATATTTCCCTTTCGGCTTCATTACTTGGAAAAACGAAAATCCGAGCTCACCCTGTTTCGAGCGCAACGAATGGGAATACACTGTACAACGCTATATTCCAATGTTCGACCTATCGTGGTTAAACAATATCATTCTAAAAAATAAAAGATCGTATCCACACGCTTTCCTATCAAAAAGCATAGAGCGAGCACCTTTAACGAATTGCTGCTGCTTGCGGCAGTTCACGAATGGAACGACAATTTTTACAAAGTAAAAATAAAATAACTAATGAAGCGTTTAAAAAAGATTTATTGCATCTTTTGATTTATGGAACGCTGATTATGATTTACAACTCATTAAAACTGCTTCGTACTTTCTGACAGTAATTGCAAATCTTTTTAGCGACCAAATTAAAAATGATTATTACAAGCCATAACGAATAACCAACTGGATATGCATTTCTACGATGACAACGAACGTTTCGCCCGAGGATGGGATGCTGCTGCAGCTTGTCTCTCATCATTATTCGTTCGCGTTATTCTAATTTCCGGCAGGGACTTGCCTGACATTCAGGGTCGGGGAACCCTCTCTCTATCTCCCTCCCCCCCTCCCTCCCCTTTCTTTCTCTCTCTCTCTCCCTCTTTCTCATGGAGAACAATTCGATCGTGATTTATTCCCGGGGCTGCTGGCCGCTCGGACAAGGGCGTGAGCGGTTCTCCTTTTATTTTCCATTTATCGCCACCGGCAAACATCGCGCAGGGGATGACGTCATATCCTCCGGAGAGGGAAGCCACGGACTGAAGCTGCCCGCGGGGCTGAAGTGCATCACGTCGCAGTGGATAACTTTTGCCAGATTTTTTTACAATTGAAGAGCCTGAGGCAATAACGCGCGAAGCTGTGCGAGGAAAAAGTTGCGGGGAAAAAAGGAAGTTTCTTTTTTAAAAGTGTTGGCAAACTTGCAAGTAAACGTCAGCTGACAACTTTTATTTACGTAGCCTACTTACGATTCATTTATACAGGTTTTGTCCGCAAATATAAATCTCGAATTCGTACTTGATTTTTTCTAAATAAAAGAAAACATAAGCAACTGAAATTCTAAATTAATTTATTACTATGAATACATAGAAAGGATGAAATATTTAAAAACTTAGTACCTACAGATTTGAAAATAATTTGTTGGACAAAATAATTACGTAGAGTGCTCAAACTTGAAAGACTGGCACCTTTTTGCAGCATCGCTTAGAGATTCCTAAGTAATTATTTTGATGATCCAACAAAATTATATTAAGATTTGTACCTAGTAAAATTTTTAGATACTCCAACAATATCATTCTTTCCATGTAAAATTTCAGAATGTAAAATTCAGGTGGACTATGTAATGGATTAAATTTTAAGATAAATGTTACTGTCTAAAAATATATATTTTAATAAAATTTTTATTTAAAAGAGTTATTTGAATTTTAGAAAATCTTTTAGAAAAAGGAAAAATTTCGTATATTTTTCCTTTATTATAATATAATTGTATTTAAAATCTCACACGAAAGGGTGACGTATTTATCGCAACAATACACACACACACACAC